GTCTGTTCTACACTTTTCTCATTTTGACCCAGATTCATCTATAGACTCTTTGATCAATGATGGTCGCACTCTGGGCACCATCTAATTTTCCTCATCTCATAGCCAAGGAAGTGATTGTTCATGGACATAGTTAGCTACATATTCATTCAAGGCTATTCCTTGGAAAAGACATCATGCTTGGAAAGGTGGAGGGTGAGTGAAGAAGAGAAAGACCCTCAGTGAGATGAATTGATACAGTGTCTTTGGCAATGGACTCAAATGTGTGGGAAATGATACGGGTCAGGCAGGATAGCACAGGGTTCTGATCTGTTGTTCATGTAGTCACTATGAGTTATACTTGACTTGATAGCGCTTAACAATAACAACTAATTGTTTGCCGCTGCTCGTATCACCACCTTGTGCTGACAGTCTGCTCAGTGTCAGATTACTCAATAAATTACATAAACACAGTCTTACTTGTGCTTATTTACTAATCTGTGGTGAACAACTTAACTTTTTTTCCACCACATCAAAGGTTTTACTTCATGCTGTGGTTGGCATGTATCTCTTTCCCCAACCCACATCACTTTCCTGAAGAATCACAGCCTTTTCAAATGTACAGTTCTTGACAGGAATGCAAGGTAAGGTATGACGGTATGCCGGGTCATCAGGGGCTTGTCCGTGTTTACATACTAAACCATTGGGAACACTTTCACATGGATTTCCTTCACACCTGGGTGAAATCGTTCCTGAAAGATTAGTATATAAGCATAAGTAAGCCGATGCCTACCTGGCTTCTTGGATAATTGGCCCCTGGTCCTATTTGATACTTAGATCATTTGATTTTGCAGTATAGTTACTTGCCATCTTTTTCTATATTTAACAGTTAGGCAAGCTCACTCAAGGCAGGGGTGAAATGATCTGATGTTCTGTGTTCCTTACTACCAAGAACAGCGCTTTGGTTATATAGTTGTTGTTGTTGTGTACCGTCAAGTCAGAACCAACTCATAACTGCCCCTCCAGGGGCTTTCGGAGGCAGTAAATCACATGGGAGGAGATTGCCCATCTATTTCCCATGGAGCAGCTGGTTGATTCAAACCATGTATTTGTGGGTTGGCAGCAGAATGTCTTACCACTAAGTCACCAGAGCTCCCTTGGTTATATAGAAGGATTCTCAAAGAACTGATTAGTAGATTGAAAATGCAATATTATAAACACCAGTTCCTCTCAGAGCCTGGAGCTGCTGGATAAATGGTTTGCCACAAGACTAACAACAATTTTGTTTAAGTTTGTAGGTTGTTGTTTTTTTTTTCTTTCCTAAGTCTTCACTGATAAATGAAATGTTGTCCAAAGTTTGAGTATATTTACGTGTGTAAGTCCACATAGGTGTACTTGTGTGTGTTTGTATGAATACTTTCTTAAAAACTTTAGAATAACTACATTTTTAAATAAATAGAATAGTAGCTTTAGAATGAATGAGCTCTTAAAACCTTAGAATAAATATTTCAAGGATTTTTTCCTGAAACTGGAGGCCTGTGAGGCTGGAAGTTATGTGGCCATCTGTAACCACTGCTTAGTGCCTGCAGTCAGCACCTCTGAGCCTTGCTAAAGTTACCTGTCCAAATGAGATTAAATAAGGATGAAATAACAAGACAAATACTTATTTAAAATATGATAGAGAAGAAGGATAAGTGAGTGCTATGGGGCTAACTTTAAGTTAGAGATTGTAAAGTCAGGGCGGTGTTTTGATAAAACTTGTACTTCAATGTTGTCACTTTTCTCCAAATGGGATTTCTAGCTTCTAAACTTGGAGCCAATGAGCCATATCTGACATGATGACTTTAAACCTCAAACTCAAGGCTGTGTTAATTATTTCATTTTGGGGCAAAATTTCAACAATTTAGGCTTTGACATTTTGATAACTGTTAAAGTCCCTCATGGCATATTAAATAGATAGGGATACACGCCCCTTGTCCTTATTTTACTGTCCAAAAATGTAGAGACTTGGCAGAAAACCTTGGGAAGAGGGAAAATTCTGCTTCTCCCAATATGGAATTATTCATCCTAATTGAAAAGAAAAAAACAACATGGAAAAATAAGAATTTAAAGCTAGGCTACACATTTATTATATAGGCTACAAGATAGCTGCACCTTTATTATTTAACATAAACAAGATTTCATTTGCAAAAGGAATTGCCAAGATGAATGCAGAATGATTGATTTAAGTTAAAGTGTGTGGAATTAACTCCTAGTGTTGCATTCTTCACATTGTGCTTCAGAATACCTGAACACAGGAACTTTTGTACTTTGAGGAAAACAAAGAAGGGCTATGTGGTTTGGTAGACTTGGAGAAGGGATATTTTCCCTCCTTGTTAAAACAGTGATATCTGATAAACACCTAATAATCATATGATATGTGATAAACATCTCCTGATCTTGAAATTTTTCCTGAAAAGATTAACGTAGCAACTTTTCCCCTTGTCTGCTCAAAACATGAGAATATAATGCCAAGAAAAGTATCTTGATAAACATTATTTGCTGAAGTTAATGGAGTGACTCTTCTACTGTCTTGTTCTTGTAGCTCTTCTTTCATGGGAAATTCTTGTTGCCTAGAGGGTAAAGAATAGCTCTGCAAACCCGCTGTCTGGTGGTTCAAATTCACCAGCTATTCTGAGGGGAAAAGTTGGGCAGTTTTCTCCCATGAGTTTTATAGCCTATGAAAATAGAATCTGCTATGAGTCAGTTCTAACTCAACAGCATAATAACTTCCTTCATGAAAATCCCGAAAGAGGAAAAGAAAATCTTGGAAGAGTGGAAAGTCATAACCCAATGGAAGGAAATCTGATTTCATATTGGCACCAAGTGATTTTCAAGTTTCTTGTGATCATAGTAGAAAATGTCTATGTATTTACATTTTGTAGTTAATATTAGTCAGTAGTGGAAGTCTTAATTTTCTAATAAATATCAGAGGAACATGTTGGAACGGTTGCTGTGGAGTTGATTCTGACTCATGGTAAACCTGCTGAGAGCAGACTAGAGCTGCCTGCTCAAAGGCTTCTGGAAGCAAACGTCCAGGCTTTTCTCTTGAGGAGCCTCGTAGTGGATTCAAAGTGCCAGCCTCTTACTTGCTGAGAGCATCACCATTTGTGCCACCAAGGAGTCTAGGGGCATATAACTGGCAAGAAAATGAAGATTGTTTGATTAAATATTTATTCCAAGTAAACCTAAAGCACCTGCTGCAGAGGGTCAAGGACTGCAGCCTCTAATGTGGATTGAGGCTCAATGTCAAGAAGACAAAGATTCTCACCACTGGACCAATTGACAGCATCAGGATGGATGGTGAAGAGATTGAGATTGTACACAGCTTCAGTTTGCATGGCTCCACAGTCATCACTCTTGGCACTAGTAGCCAGGACATTAAAAGACGCATTGCCGTGGGAAAGTCTGCTGTTAGGGACCTCTCCAAAGTACTGAAGAACAATGGTGTCTCTCTGTAGACTAAGGTGCGTTGATACAGGCCATGGTCTTTGCAATCACTTGTTATGCATCAGACAGTTGGACAATGACCAAGGAGGATAGAAGGAGAATTGATGCCTTTGAGCTGTGGTGCTGGAGAAGAGTATTGAGAATACCATGGACTGCTAGGAAAACAGATTCATCCTGGAAAGGGTTAAACCGGGTGGCTCCTTGGAGGCAAGGATTCTGAGGCTCCATCTAACATACTTTGGACATGGTGTGAGGAGAGACTGGTCCTTGGAGAAGGACATCATGCTTGGGAGGGTGGAGGGCAGGCGCGGGAGAGGAAGGCCCTCTATGAGGTGGATTGATTTAGTGACTGGGGTTATCGGGATGGGTGTGTCAGAGGCAGTGCGATTGGCACAGGACAGAGCAGAGTTTAGGGCTGTTGTACATAGGATCGCTATGACTCGCAAGCGACTCGATGACACATAACAACAACAACAAAACTTTTGTAATAGCTGTTCAGAGGGACAATGATGGGTATTCTCCTCTGAAGTGATTCACAACCTCTGAAAACTTGCTGGAAGGTCACGTATGAGTCAGTTCTAACTCAGTGATATACAACAACAACAACAACACCACACACACACACACACACACACACACACACACACACACACTGACAGAACAAGCCAGGAAGAATGAGAATAGAGGATTTATTTCAAGGTCATGTTCTATGTGCTGTGGAGGCTGGCGACTCCATCGTCTGTGGGTCAAACGTCAGGAGAGAAGTGTCTGGAGAGGCTAATGCTGGCTCTAGACGCTGAGTCCAAGAAATGGCACACTTCTGTCTTTGGAGGCTGATGAATCCAAAGTCATTGACCAGTAGGTTGAAGACTACGCGGAATTCCTACAGAGTCACAGCCTTTTCGAAGACAGTTCTTGAGAGGGATGGAGCTCCCAGTATGCAGAATCAGACAAAAAACTCTCCAGCTTTGCCAAACAATTCAGTGGATGTATATCCCTGAGGAAGCTTCTCTCCATCCATCATTCAGGCTGATTCTTTCTTTATACACAACCGTCTCTAATCCTGCCTCCTTAACATCACAGAGGTTAGAATTTACAGCACGCAGTACAGTTTACCTTATACTGAGGATCATGGCCACATTGAACAGGTGATTGGCTATCACGTTATGTTAATTATGTCCTTAGAAAGAAGTCTCAGCATACATTCAGGACTTCTCTCCCAAGTATTTCCCAACTCATTTTCACTATTTTATAACACCTAAAAAAAAAAAAATCTTCTCTGCTGGAGAAGGAGGGAAAATCTCCTCCTATACCAGTCAGATCCAATTTGACAGTACACACACACACAATAATAATAATAATTTAAAAAAAAAACCCCTTTCTTGTTTCAGTCTGTATTTTTGAGTGGAATGTATGACAGTATTTTAGGAAATTATTTACTTCCTGACAGACTCATGCTATGTTGGCTTCTTTTTCTAGATAACTGCATAGCCAGTGTTTTCAACCTTCAGAAAACGTCTTCTGCTTTGTGTTTTCAGGTTGCTACTTTACTCCATGTAAAAAGCAAGAAACCAAATGGAGATTTTTCAGTACAAGATACGGTACTGGCTGCTCCCAAGTCTTTTGACAGCTGCTTATTTCTGCACCATCGTCCTGGCTCAAGGTAATTGAAATCTTTATAATAATGTCCGGCCCAGGGGCTCGAGCAGACATGTTGATTGTAATTATCATTTTTTATGTTATTTAGCAAAATAGTCCTTTATTTATATTCGTGGAAATGCTGTGAAGCAATTCTATTCTGTCCTTAAGTTGCTGTGAGTTGGAACCAGTCAAAGTATGTTGCTTTCCGCGTGTATATCTTTTCTTAATTTTCTGTAATTGTGAAGCCATATGCAATTTGTCCTTGTGTGTCTGATGTATGTTACTCAGTATAATGTCCTCCAGCTTCATCCATAAAATGTTTCACAGACCTTTCATTATTCTTTAGAGTTAAGTATTAGCCATTTGTACGAATGTACCATATTTTGTTTACTCACTAATTCATTGGTGGGCACTTTAGTTGTTTCCCTCTTTTTGTTATTGTAAATAATGCTGTAATGAGCATAAGAGTACACATGTCCATTAATATAACCGTACTTATGTCTCTTGGATATATAGCAAGTAGTAGGATTTCTAGATTATAACACATCTCTATTTCTAACCTTTTAAAGAAATTTCATATTATTTTACATAGTTGTTGTAGTTGTTAGGTGTCATCGAGTTGAGTATGACTCATAGTGACTCTATGAACAAAAGATCTGAAACCAGTCCTGTCCTGCGCCATCCTCACACTTCCTCACACAGGAGCCCATTGCAGCAGTCACCTTGCCAATCATGCCATTTTACAGTACCACTAGCAATATTTAAAGAGTTTTAATTTCACCAAACCTCATCAGCCCTTTTTTTTGGTGAAGGTGGTCATGGTGGTAGGGATCATTGCTGTATTTGTTGGGGCAAGATTAATTCCTTTGTTTTGATTAAGAAACTAAGTTTTTAAAATCCATTCTTCATCTTATGATGGAGATCTGCCCTTTTTAGTTGTGATTTCCCCTGATTTTTATTAATTGGGTGTTGGAAAATTGCAAACCATGGGCAAATATAACATGTTGCCAGTTTTTGTAAATAAAGTTTTATTGGAACGCAGCCATGCTCATTTGTTTACATCCTGTCTGTGGCTGCTTCCACTAAAATCAGTGATGAGTACTTGTGACAGATTGTATGGTCTGTAAAGCCTAAAATACGTATTATCTGATGCCAACTCCTGAAGTGCACACTATGTAGAGCACACCAAATGACATCACTAGACAAACATAGTAGAAACCAAACTGTTTGTACTCAGAGTCATTCCTCAGTTGTGGATGGCGGTCTGAGTGGGGGAGGCAAGGTGAGATGAACGTGTTAATGCCAGTGCTTGACATTAAGGGCTGTACAAAAGTCAGATTCGTGAGCCACACATCATGCTTGCTCTTGGTGTGGCTTAGCTGTCTGAGGAGGAACAGAATTTAACTCCCATGATTCCATACCGGTTGTGACATTTTATGTTGATGATCTTATCCACTTTCCCCATACATCACAGAGAGGCAATTTGATAGACAAATCTTTTTTAATATATTGACAAGAAAATATTTTTCATTAGGACAGAAAAGTAAGGACGGTCTTGGCTAGTGATTAGTTTATCCTTCAACAAAAACTTGCTTCTGAAAAACCGGCTTCTGAAAATCCTATGGGTTTTAGTGTGACACACTTGGGGTCACCCTGAGTCTGAATTGACTAAATGGCAACTGAGGGTGGTGGTGATGATGGTGGTGGTGGAGAGGGTCAGAATTTCTTAAGAACCAAAAGTTTGGCAACTTGCTAAGTCTTCCCCAATGACTTTTTCAGTCTAGCTGAATTGAGAAGTGGTCATTTATGAAATAGCTGGTCATACAGAACTCTCCAAATTATGTTTTACATAATCATTTGCAGGACACATATTGTAAGATCTAAAATCCAAGATACAAAGATGGAAAAGACTTTATTTTCTTTATCTAAATAATTTACTGTCCACTAGAGAGACAGAGGTGAATTGGTAAAATCTACTCTCAGATATCTCTCCAGAATTCTAAAGAGCAGTGATATCAGCCTAGTGACTAAGATGCAGCTGATCCCGGCCATGGTCTTCACAATTACTTGCTATACATCTGAGAGCTGGACAATGACTAAGGATGACAGAAGAAGAATCAATGTCTTTAAGTTGTGGTACTGGAGAAGAGTATTGAACATACCATGGGCTGCCAAGACAACAAATTGGTCTGTCCTGGAAAAGGCAAAACCAGTTTGCTCCTTGGAAGCAAAGATTTTGAAGCTCTGTCTCACGTACTTTTGGCATATTACTAGGAGGGACCAGTTCTTGGAGAAGGGCATCAGGCGTAGAAATGTAGAGGGTCAGTATAGAAGAGGAAGACCCTGGATAAGATGGACTGACACTGACTGTGGCAGTGGGGTCAGGGGTGTCAGAGATTAGGAAGCTGGTTCAAGATAGGGCAGGGTTCAGAGCCATTGTTCACAGGGGTGCTGTGAGTTGTAGTTGACTCAGTGGCACATAACAATAACAACAACAGAGACATAGAATTGTAAAGTAACACAACTCAGGACAGGTGATGTGGGGAATTGTGAAAAAAGACAAAGATATAAAGAGGTGGGTTGAGTTTTGTAAAGTCTGTGAGACTTTGAGAAATCCCATCTTACTTCCACCGTGCCATCCTTGTTCTTTATCATTTACTTACAGGATTGATTTTAAGCCAGGAATGAAGACCTTCATTTATTCTGGTTGACTTCTTTTCTGCTTTTAAGGCAAACAGAATAGCGTGTTCATAGGGATTGGCCTAATTTGACGCTAATTTGCAAAGCCAGGTTTGAAAATATTTGATGTGCAAGAAAGTACTTTGCTTCTGGTAGGTGTGCTTGCTGACATTAAGTGCTCTCAAACCTCATAGAGTAGCTACCTTTAGTGTTATATTTATGAACAAGTGGGAAAACCTAATGGTCAGTGTGTTAGGCAGAACAATATCCTATAAAAATGTTAATATCCTGATCTTTGGAACTGGTGAATGTGTTAGGTTACCTGGTGAAGAGATAAAGTAGCAGAATGAACAATCATTTAATATCTAAGTGCTCTTCTAGCAATACCATGGATCGTGGGTGTTAACAAAAAGATATTTGTTACCTTACAATTCAGGAGACTGAATTCAGAACATCAGGTGTAGGTGGTTGGCATTCTCATTCTATTGTCTCTGGAAGAAGATCTCTGTCCTTACAGATTGCCATGTCTCTCCTGGAATTCATGAGTGTCCCCACACAGGGACCTGGGTGCAGAGGACTCATCTGATCCTGGTTCTTCTTTCTCAGTGATCCTGAGGTCTGTCCCTACCTCCTCTCTCCCAGCTTCTCTCTCCTTTTATCCTTTGTGAGATGAAAGGTATTTTAGGTCACACTCCAGGGAGTTCCCCTTACATTGGGATTGCAAACTTATTAAGGATACCAAATCCCACCGTAATTCCCCTATTTCAGGTCAAGGAGGATCACATCAGACCACATCTGGGAGATGAGCACATCATTCCATAACTGCCACATTACAACATTACATCCAAAACACAGAGAACCATAAATCAGCCAGATTGACATTCTCGAGGACGTGGTTCAATCAGTGACACTGGCTAATAATCAGACTTGAAGGAAGTTATCCTGGCCTATCTGGGTGGGCCCAATATAATAATAAAAAAAAAGTCTTTACTATGGAAAGGTAGAAGAATTCTTATCAAAGTGCTATAATGTGGAAGATTCCACACTCAAGTGGTCATTGCTGGTTTTAAAGATGTCAGGGCACTGTGAGCCAAGGAGTGTAGGCAGTTTCTAGAAGCCACAAAAGGCAAAAAAGGAAGTTCTCTCCCAGAGCATCCAGAAAGGACCTCAGGTATGCGTAGAACTTGATTGTCCCTCATTGAGATTACTTTTGGACTTCTGACCTCCAGTAGATAAATATCCTGATGATAAACTTGTGTTGATCCAAGCCACTGCAACTGAGGTAACTTGAAGCCACTGCAATTGAGGTAACTTGAAGCCACTGCAGTTGAGGTAACTTTGTTATAGCAGCAAGAACAAACTTACAGTTGGTATTAAAATTGATATGCCTAGGGAGCTCTGGTGGCCTAGTGGCAAGAAGCTGCACTGCAATCCCATAGGCACATGTTTCTAATCCACCAGATGCTCCGCTGGAGGAGGGGCAGCCTCTTCCTGTGCCAGTTGGATCTGATTCGAGGGTACACAACAAGAAAAAAAAAGTGATATGTGTGAGTAACTCCCTCTGTTACATTGCTAATCAATAGAATGTATTTTATACCTAGTCTCTACATTTATTTCTTTATGTAAAACTTCCCTTTACAGAGACTGTGAATCCAAGTAAATGATTTAAGTCAATATTTGTGTTTAGATTATTCCAGCATCTTCTTTTCAAGACAAGTTGTTAAATGAACTGGAACATGGAAAAAGTAATGTTGTGTTGGCTGTAGGGATAAAATGTGTAGAGTAATGACAGAATGATGGCATCAACATTTTCTGAGAATTTCTCAGTAAATATGTACCTGGTCCTCGCAGTGTTTGCTTTGGATGGTTATGAGAAGGAACTACTGATGGTGAAGTTAACTGCCATTAAAAAGCCTCAAAGTGGATAAAATCGAAGATTTCTTTGCATGAGAGCCAAATGTGACTTTATAAAGACCTCTCTGTTAATACATTTATACATATTTATGCTTATATTAGTAGTCAAACACTGCAAGAAGACAATATTTTCCTTACTGCTGTTTTCAACGTCTTTCTAACAAGCCATGAAATTATAGCGCATTAAGTTCTATGCAAGATTAAAAAAAGACCTCTGTAGCATATCACACAGTAAATTTCTCTCCAGACTTGGCTATTCTTATTTATAGATCATTTGGGCAATAAATGCGTTTAATAGAAAAATAACTGAGCTAAAAAAGCTAAAGTTTTTAAAAGCCCTTGGGAAATAGTTATGCACTTTGCTGCTGTTTAAAGGCATTTTATTTTATGACTACGATAGGTTTTCCATCAAAAGGGTACTTGAAGCTC